AAATACATCTAAGATAAATGAGCAGGAATAAAACCTGTTCTGGTGAGCCCTGTTCCTCAGGAATTCCTGTTCGCCAGAGAAGAGGCAAACTCTGTTATCAGGCAAATCAGTCTATTGAGGGGAGGGCAATTTCCCCCAATCAGTGTGTGAAGCATGACATACCCCACTCTTAAATCATTTATATTTTACTTTTTTATGATGCAATCGTGAATTAGCTCTTTCTGCATTTGTAATTAGAGGATAGAACAGATGGCCAGGGCTTAGTTCAGGGTGATAAATCCATTAAAATAACCTACTGGAAGCTGCTGCTACTGCAGTTGCTGCCAATAACTGTTCATTCAATGCTTTGCTCAGGGTTTGGACACTGGGTGGAAGAAGAACCATCACAGTTCTTCACTACCTGGAGGTACCAGGGGTAAGAACTCCCACAGAAGTTTGAGGAGTGCATTATTACTATCCATGTGGTTCACGAAACTTGCATTACACAAGATACGGTATACACGGGGCAACCCAGGCAGATAGCCTGGAATTGCCACTTCACACTAGTTGCCTGTGCAGATACACCCATCTCATACCAGAGAGCACGCTTGCTTCTTCTCAAAGTGGATGAAATTCACCTGCACAAGTCGTCTTATTGCAGTGTAAGACCATCTATCAAGGAGTGATTGCAAAATACCCACTGTACTTTGAACTCCTGTCTTGACATATTTTGCAAGAAATTTCTCAAAGCAGTTAGAAAGCTGGAATAACTTAGGCTAGACAGGCCCCCTAGGAAGGTGGCTGAGCCAAGCCCCTTGCTTAAAGCAGCTCAAAGCCCTCATCACAATGGACCAAATTCCAGCCCTTGATTCCAGCAGAGGTCTCCTGCTTAAGCTAGTCGACAGATTTGACCTCATTTTTTAAAAAACACAGGTTAGGATAATTTTGTATCCTTAGCTTATGATTAGCAAAAAGAGATATTAAGCCACAAACCAAACACAGTGGAAAAGGCTGTGTTGTTGTTAATTCTAATGGTATTTTTGACCTGAAACACATTGGCCTACTCCACAAATTAATCTCGGCAGATTCTGTGGGCCAGTTTCAGGGAGTTTTGGATCCACCTAAGTCTCTCAGTGTCTCTGAAAATCAGCAATACCCTTTCCCGTGATCCTTTAGCACTTCTGCTTCTGGTCCCAGCTATAGCCCAGGATAAAGAAGCACAACAGCATTTCCAAAATATTTTTCACTGAAATCCCTTGCCAGCATGGGAATTCAGTGCTGGAACATTACTGCACGTCTTTGGATAGCATTTTCGTGTGGGAACAGCATCTCCATATATCAGGAGCTTGGATTTTCAGGATGTCTGAAGGTTGGAAACTAGCTGTGGAGTTATATCAAGACGGCTGGTGAGGCGGGAACGCTTTCTACTGATTCCTGTGACGATCTTCCACAAAAGCAGTGAGGATTGCTGTGGGAAAAATGGAGCTAGCCAGATACACCCTGCCTACCAAGGTGAGTGGATGAACTCACCACTATGCTGGTCCCCCTTCTTCCTTCTCTGGGGACCTGGGCACAAACTATCACTGCATATGACAGGTCCAGTCCAAATTCATACATGCTGAGCTCCCATAAGTTTCAATGGGAACTTCCAATAAGAGGGACATACATTAGGTATCACAAAATGAGCAGAGGAAAACTGGTTACACAGAAATGCATCTGAAATAAAAACACTACTATTTCAATATTTTTCCATATGTAGTAATGGTGAGAGATTTTGTTTACAAAAGCTGCTTAAGCAGTGGTTTGAATTTGAAAAGGTTCATTTGATTTCCGCACCTCACCTCTTCCTGGCTGACTGCTCAGTATCTGCCAGCGTAGGCATTATGTGATGCTCTGCTTGTCCCTAAAGCTGTCAGTCAAGTCAGAGCCTGGGCTGGGAAATGGTTAGAGCCCGAATAAATATTAGCAGAATAGTTTGGACCGTGACCGCTTCCCTCCTACTCTCGCCTTCACCCGCCTACACACATGCTGCTGCTTCTGCTTCAGTGCAAAGTAACACTACAGGAAAAGCTTAGGAGCTTCTCCCCCCATATACACATATTTAATAAGACATTGTGCTTTTGATGAGTGACCCTTCCCTGGATGCAGCTTGTATGTGTGCTGAAGTCAGATGACATTTTAACAATAAACCAGCTGAATTACAATTCAGACAGAATTTACTTTAAAATTTACATAATGTAGCTAGGGGAGACTTTTAACTGCTTCCTCTTGTGCACCGGGGGAGCGGGGGGAGAAAGAGGAAAATTAAGTAACAGCCTAATTGGCTTTTATAACAGTCTATGGGGAGAAATGCAGGCCTGTTCTCTGCCTAGCTACGAAGCTTGGTATGTGCTGTAACCATGGGAGGCAATATTACAGGCATGAGAGGACAATGATTTTGTTTTTCAGCATTAAAGATCTGAAAAATGAATACCTCCAACTGAGGGGTTTTGTTTTCTGCTTCAGGAAGACTTGTCATGCCAGTTCAGAGGACTACAGGTCAGCCCTTTGCTGGGAAGAATCTGCCTGACGGAAAAATGGAGCATCTCATCTTCCACTGCCTCCACTTACCTGCACTCTGGGCACTTTCAAAAATACTAGTGAGCCAAAGAGGTGTGAAATGGTGCCATTTTGCCATGATAGCATTCTACAGCAATTTTGCTAAGACGTGAGTATCTTCATGCCATGCAGCGTAACAGAGCGTTGAGTGTAGGCCCTCAGCCGTGGGTCACGGATGTTGGCATGAACCAGATTTGTCTGCGATACCAGTGTGATCATTTTAATCAAGGAGCAGCCTGCAGAAAACTGGACAACAGAGCAACGAAGTCAAGGCTGAGGCACCCAGCGCTTTCTCCTCTCCCTTCCCTGCTCTGCACAGCCAGCATGCCGGACTATTCCTCCAGAGCATGAGGAAGATGGCAAAGCAATTGATCTTTGCTGTTTAATTTCCTACTGCTGAGATATTGCTGCATTCTGGAATAGTACCAATGACAGAAAGCTGTAAGGAAGATATTGACAGTTCATTTTTTATTGAATTTTGTCTTTAAAAAAACAGCGGTTAAATCAATGTCAATTACATTAAAACATACAAGTTTCAGGACTAATCACTCTGTCTTACCCTCCTTCATTTCCAGCAGACTTAAGGGAGAACTCCATCGATTGCCTGATCTACCTTAGGGACAAATGCCGCCTGAGAACAAGACCAGCAACAGCATGGAAATGCCTCACTGCTGTGGTTAAACCGGAGCTAGTGGCAGTGAGCTCCATCTCCGGCCAAAGCTTTTCAGCTCCAAGCCATTCGCCAGAACTGGAGGAGCGTCCAACTGGGTATCTCATCTCCAAAGGCCAGCTAACATGTTCCAGTTCCCTCCTAAACTATGGCTAAATTATTGTTACATGACGTAGCTATAGCGGTAAACCAGAGGATATGGGAAAGATCTGTCTTCAGTCTACATTTCCTCAAATGGTTGAAGATGGAAAAGTTGTGTCCTTCTGCCCAGAACATAACTGCTGCCCTCTGCCAGCACCACGAGCCCTCTCCTTACCGTCCGGCAGCGCTGCCTTCCTGCCCATGTGAAACGGTCGTCCTAAAGACTCCAGGGCATCGCATCTCCAGGATTTTTATTGCGGTACTCTGGCTTCACTCCACTATGTTTTATTATATAGAACAAAGTCATTAATCAACTGTGTGCCCCCCTCTCCCCTGCTGCTGCAGACAGCGAATGTGATCATGCACGAGCCCTACTGCTATCTGTCTTTCCGCCCATGGCTTCATGAATCTGAGCGGAGGATTCGATTACAGCCATGGCACTGATAATATGATGTGCTGGACGTCCTCAGCTGCCACTGAACTTACCATCTTAGGCAAGAAGGGGGGTTCAATGATAAAGGTTTGTATGAACAGGACCGAACACATAACAATGTCTTCTAGCCTTGATTTAAACTTTACTCTAGAAGGATTAGCCTAAAAAGAATGTTATTTTTTATTAAACACTGTCATTAGCTTTGTTATCCAATGCAAAACAGTTCAAATCCAATCAAAATAGTTGTTTCCATATCATTCAGTAATGATTAACTAATTCCACATCAGAAACAGAGCAATCAGAAATAAAGACAACAGCATTAAGGTTTAAACTGGGAAAATGACTTGGATTTAGTTCTACCTTTTAAGACTGCCAAAGTGAATTACAGGTAATGTTAGAGACATATTTATAGGCAAAGCCAAATCAGCTGTGACTGCAAATCACAGTGTAAACAAGTAGCCAATTAGATGTTTAGGTAGCACATCACCTTTGCAAATGCTCCATCAGTACCACTGAGAGAAATGCCTACCTATGCGCATTTAGGAAAGCAAGAACGCAAGTGTTTTTGCGTGCAAATACTGGAGTTATTTTCCTTAAAATCAATCTATAATGGCTGCAAGTAAATGACTTGACAGGATTTTTTTCCTTGAACAAATTAGTGTATGTGTTATGGCTTATGGCTGCAGTGATAATTCAATTTTAAGCTGATCTCTTTGTCTCTCAGTGAGAAGTGATTGAAATCTGCCAGGCTTGTCTTTTTATGACCCCCTCTGTGCACTGCTAATTTTAGTGCTATCTTTAACAGAACACAGAGCAGAGTTTTATGTTTTCATATTCCGACGACAGAAGAGTCAAGGGACCTGACAAGTTGTAATGGCTTTCTTTCCTGGTTTCCTTTCCTGGTGCAAACTTGAGAATTCCTCTACCTGCAAATTCTTCATCACCATGTAACTGGACACTTTATACACTATTTTTATACAGTAAAGCATGACTATTTAGCTACGTATCACCTTTGCACAGTGAAGTATGACTACCTAGGTCCGTTAAGTCTTTTTAATTGAGCAACAACTAACTGGGAATAGACCGCCGCTGCGGTACGGATCTGTCCTCCTGACGGTACTGTTTCCCAGATGAAGACCTGGGAAGGGAAGAGCTATGTGACGTGGGAAGCAAGTGTGAATGGTGCAAGTGATGAGCCTGAAACAGAATCAAAAGCGGGAGAGCAGCTGCCGGGCATTAGGGACCACAGGATCGGGCACCTACGCCCAAATCCTGGGTGGCTCTTGCGGTGCAGCATAAATCAGTGGAAAGATCTGCAGCTCAGGATTTAACCAAAAGGCCGCATGAATGACACAGTATAAAAAAAGACTGTGTATGATTTGTACTGCATCACCCTGCGCTTAGAGCAGCCCCGAGCCTCCACAGTTTTCCTCCTGAATGAATTACCACGCTTTGAGGCAGACGGATGGAACTGTGACTCCCCCCATTTATTTCAGGCCTGTACTCCACGATTCTAACCATGAGTGACTGCAATAAAACGGACCTCAGGTCCGCCCAGCTCCTAAGGCCCAGGCAGGGCAGCCAGGCCGG